GCAATCAGAACCTCCTACTTCAGCTCCTGTATTGAGAAGGTCATCTCGGCCCCATGTGCCTAACAGGAGATACATGGACTACATGTTGCTGACTGATGGAGGGGAGCCTGAAAGTTACATGGAAGCTTGTCAAACCACGGATGCTAGCAAGTGGGAGCTTGCCATGAAGGACGAGATGAAGTCCTTGATCTCAAATCAGACATGGGAACTAGTCAAGTTACCTATGGGAAAGAAAGCACTTCACAACAAATGGGTGTATCGGGTGAAGGAAGACCATGATGGTTCCAGGAGATGCAAAGCCCGACTGGTTGTCAAAGGATTCCAGCAGAAAGAAGGAGTTGACTATACTGAAATCTTTGCTCCAGTTGTAAAGCTCAATACTATCAGGACTGTGTTAAGTATTGTGGCTAGTGAAGAGCTCTACCTAGAGCAATTAGACGTGAAGACTGCATTTCTTCACGGAGACCTAGATGAGGAGATCTATATGTACCAGCCTGAAGGATTTTCAGATAGAAAGAAGGATATGGTGTGCAAATTGAAGAAGAGCTTGTACGGCCTGAAACAAGCTCCAAGACAGTGGTATAGGAAGTTCGAAAGCTTCATGCACAAGGAAGGTTTCCAGAAGTGCAATGCCGATCACTGTTGCTTCTTTAAGAAGTATGAGTCCAGCTATATCATCTTGCTACTTTATGTCGATGACATGTTAGTAGCAGGATCAGATATGAAAGACATCAGAAAATTAAAGATGCAGTTGTCAAAAGAATTTGACATGAAGGACTTAGGCCCAGCAAAGAAGATTCTTGGAATGCAAATCACGAGAGATAAGCAAAAGGGAGTTTTGCAGTTATCTCAGGCAGAGTACATCAACCGTGTTTTGCAGAGATTTAACATGGACAAGGCTAAGCCAGTCAGTACACCTTTGGCCAGCCATTTTCGTCTATCCAAGGATCAGTCTCCTCAAACAAAAGAAGAAGAAGAGTTCATGGCTAAGATTCCTTATGCTTCAGCCATTGGAAGTTTGATGTACGCGATGGTCTGTACGAGGCCAGACATTAGCCATGCAGTGGGAGTTGTGAGCAGGTTTATGTCAAAACCAGGAAAAGTTCATTGGGAAGCAGTCAAATGGATTTTGAGATATCTACGTGGCACAACAGAAAAATGTCTGTACTTTAGAAAAGGAGATCTAAAGTTACAAGGCTACGTAGATGCAGACTTTGGAGGTGAAGTTGATCACCGAAGAAGTACCACCGGTTATGTTTTCACTGTCGGAGCTACAGCTGTTAGTTGGATGTCGCGGATACAAAAGATTGTTGCTCTATCCACTACAGAGGCTGAGTATGTAGCAGTGACAGAAGCCAGTAAAGAATTGATATGGCTTCAAGGATTGTTAGCAGAGTTGGGTTTCACTCAAAAGGAGAGTGTCTTGCACAGTGACAGTCAGAGTGCAATACATCTGGCAAAGAACTCAGTGTTTCACTCCAGAACTAAGCACATTGACATACGTTATCATTTCATCAGATCTCTGCTTGAGGATGAAGTGTTGACATTGAAGAAGATTGTAGGAAGCAAAAACCCAGCAGATATGCTAACGAAGGTGGTGACTATTGACAAACTGAAGTTGTGTTCAACTTCAGTTGGCCTGCTAGAATAACAGACCGGAGAAGACTACTGCAGTAATTGAGGTGTGAGGACAGATTGAAATCAGTTCTCAAGTGGGAGATTGTTGGTCAAAAATGGCTGCGGCCAACAACAAAGAAGAAAAAAAGAAAATAGCCCACATTTCTTGTCCAATTGCAGCAGCCCTCGTGCTGAATTTTTTAAAATATGGAGTACACATTTGTGGAAAGAATGGTGCAATTCTCCTCTATAAATAGAGGGGTTCTGATACACATCCAACACCACAACAGAGAAAAACACAAGAGAGATAGAAAAGAGAGTGAGCTAGAAAAATAATTTAGTATTTGTGTGTATTTTTGAGTTGTGAGTTGTGAGTGAGTTTGTAAACACGAGTGAATTTTTTTCTTCCCAATAAAATATCTGCAGTAGTCCGGAGACGTAGGCATTATTGGCCGAACTCCGTTATCAAATTGGTGTGTCCAATTTTTATTTTTATTTCACTTTTATAGATCCGACTTCATGGAAAATTCAGCGTATTTTTCCCAACACCAACCACACCCATTTGTCGCAGCCGGCGAGAAATTCATAGCGGGCGCTGCTATTAAGCCGAGAGAAATTGGGGCGATTATTGGGTTCAACGGATTTGAGCGACTTGTTTTCAATTGAGAATAAGAATGTTGTTACCCCACTCTACCACAAGCACGGGATTGTCGTCGTCGGCTGTGCCGTTGCTGTTGATGTTGTTCTGCTCCAGATTGCGGCCGTGCGCCGGAGTGCCGAAATGACGGACGCCGGAAGAAGGATCAAGATGTAAAATCCGGCTCATGGCCGTGAGCAGCGGTGGGCTTGTACGGGGCTTTAATCTGGTAACGGCGGTGGCGGCGGCCAGTGTTCGGAGCGCCATGTTTGCTTGCAGATTGAGTTTTCAAATCCTCAATTATATCTCATCCTTATCTGTTAATTCCCATATTAAAAGCCGAATGGGCACATGCTCATTGAGATTTTGTGAAGTGGGCTCATAATGGATTTTTTTTAAAAAAATAAAAAATTTTAGTCATTATATTTACCATTTACCAATTCCAAATAAATAAATAAAATTACGTTACATTATTATTCTTTTTCAAACCATAATTATATTAAGATACTTTTTACGTAATTCAAAAGTAATTAAATTTTATAACTTTCAAGTAGTATACACTACATTCTTTTTAAATTATGGGACAAACAAGTTGGAGATTTTCAGTGTAATCCATGAGTATAAGGATGATGGTTATGCAGAACCCTCATTATTTTAAAAGCAAGAGAAATCGAAGCTCATAGGAAGCGAAACTGCGATTTTGATTCAACTCACGATGGACTATTTATTGGTTTTGACCCCAAATTCCAAAGCTCGTCTCTTGTTAGTTGTCATATAACTTGATTTATTTTGCGTGAAATGCTTCGGGAGTTTCGCATTGGATTTTTTATTGTTAGATTGATACACACTTATACGGGTGTGTGTGCACGTGTGATGGAACAATAAAAAACTATGCCCTCATCACCTCATTCGGAAATCTTGTATAAGGTCAGCTTAACCATTAGACCGACAATTGGTGGATCTTGTATTAAGTCAACTTAACCATTAGACGGACATATTCTTTTTATATGTATACACTTTCATTAGAAAATGTCATATTTTTATAAACATCATAAATAAGCTTATGACTGAATAAGACATTTAAGTAAGACATTTAAACATTTTTGTTCATAGTTGTGATTGGTCGACCGTATAATTGATAGACCCCATCACACAGAACTCACACACTTGCAGACCTATACTATTCAATGTTTACAGTTTATTTCTTTTAATGTAGATTGTACTTTTGGATTGTGAATCGTTCAAACAGCTTTTGGGGTTGCTATTTTTCATATGAGATCAGATCAGGATGTGAATGGCACATGCGATACAAATTTGTGGACTCATCATTTCATTTTCATTTGTATGACTGAACGATTTTGATCACATCCTAAGAGAACATTGTGTGTATACCAAAAGTAAGGGTCCTGATAGAATGTTTTTCTACATGTAGGATTGAAATTAAAATAGATAAATTAAATGTAGGATTGAGATTGATATACATTAAATATAGGTTAAGGTTGATGTTTTGGTCAATCCAAATATTGTCATGTAAAATGTCTCAAAGTTATTATCGTTGTTTTACGTATTTAGATCTCTCCAATGTGCATTGTTAAATTGATGATGATATCGTTTAATGCAATAAAGAAATTCTATACAAGATGATGTCGAGCACAAGCAGTTCATACAAAATAAACAACACAATACGACATTTAACACCATAAAGCGTAGAAGTCAAATGAAGTACATATTATAAAAGCAGAATATCAAGTTCCGATGACCTTTAGAACAATATCTTAGTGGCATTTAATAAAGGCCATCAACCCTAAATGAAACATGAAAATAAATAAATAAAAAATCACTAAAAATTATCCAAGGGAAAAGACGAGCAGTCCATCGCTAATCAGAATTGTAGTTTCTCTTGCTTTTAGAAAAATGAGGGTAAACTTCATAACCGCCATCCTTATAATCATCGATTACACCGAAACTCTCAAACTCGGATGTCCTACGATTGCAAAGCAGAATCGCACTCGCACCCTTAGAGTTGCGTAGAATCACTTTGTCATTATTGTAGAGGCCCACAACCTCTTTAACATCAGCATCCCTCGGAAAATGGAGAGTGGACAAGTGAGACCAGCTCCGGTCCCCATTGTCCCACACCCAAATCTGCAACAACAAAAAATCTGCATCATTCCGCCCGTAATTCTGATCATCCTCAAAAATAACCGCAAGCGACCCTTTATACTCTGCAAGAACCAGGTTCGGGTATAACCTGTACGCACCGTAGAGCTTTGGCAAGGGAATGAGATCAGCTGGAAATGAATAATAACATAACTGTCCACATCCCTTAAAAACGCGGGCCAATAATAAAAACCGTTAATGTGAATGCTGTACTTGTTATGGATTCTCGTGTCTTCGGTATTGTGTGGGAACCGGATTTCCCTCCACGAACTGGTGCCGACCAACAGCAACTCCCCTCTGACCTCATCGGAATAGGAACACCTGACCACCTTACAGTCACCTGAACAAGGATCGAACCCAACGCCCCAAAGAAGATGCCAAGAGTCATCTAAGGGAAAGCGAGGTTTCCCCTGAAATTGAGGAATGGGCCAGACCTCGTCGGTCGTGGGGTCCCACAGAAGCTCTGCCGTTGTTGTAATACCTTCATCCTCGGACCCCAAAACCGCCCATTTGTCGCAGCCGGCGAGAAATTCATAGCATGCGCTGCTATTAAGCCGAGAGAAATTGGGGCGATTGGGTTGAACGGGTTCGAGCGCTTGTTTTCAATTGAGTGTACGGAAAGTTTGTGGGGCCCGTTGTTGGTATATTGCTCCACCACAAGCACGAGATTGTTCTCGCTGGCCCCGTTGCCGTTGATGTCGATGTTGTTCTGCTCCAGATTGCGGCCGAGGGCCGCCGGGCCGTGCGCCGGAGTGCCGAAACGACGGACGCCGAAAGAAAGATTTCGATGTGAAATCCGGCTCATGGCCATGAGCGGTGGGCTTGTACGGGGCTTTAATCCGGCGATGGAGACGGCGGCGGGTGTTCGGAGCGCCATGTCTGCGTACAGAGGAAGAATGAATTTCCAATTCCTTTGAGTTTTCTCTTATAGGGCATTCTTTTATTTTGATTCCCATACTAAGCCCAGTGGACACAGTTACTGTTACAACTGTGAATGGGCTCAAATCAGGGAAAATTTTTATTATCGAGTCACTATATTTACCAATTTCTAGAAAGTGTAGTTTATATTTATAATAAATATTAAACTTGGTACTACAGAAACAAATACTAACAAATTAGAACCATTTAGGCCGTTAAACCGTAGCAAACTTCATATTAAACGAGTTATTTACGGCTCTTTATCTAACTTTATAAAGGTGTAAGATTTTGATCACATCCTAAGAGAACATTGTGTGTAATAAGTAATAACTAATACCAAACATAAGGGTTCTGATACTATGTTTGGTAAAACTAGTTTGTAAGCTAGCTAATAGTTGATAATTAGCTTATAGTTTATAAGTTATTTTCAAACTTATAACTTATAGCTTACGATTGAAAAAATGATAGAGGTATTTCGTAAAATTAGCTGATAAACTAGCTGAAATAAAATTAAACGAGCTTATTTGAAAAACTACTAAAAAAAACTTATGAGATAAGCTTGAGTTTTTTAAACTTACAAGATAATCTTGAACTTTTTAAACACGTCCTACCAAACGAAACTTATAAGTTAATTAAATAAGCTATAAACTAACTTATTTGGTTACCAAACATAGCCTTTATATTTTTTCTACATGTATGATTGAAAATTAAAAGTAGATAAATTAAATGTAGGGTTGACATTGATGTGCATGTATACATTTAAGCTATGTTTGGTAAAACTAGCTGATAACTAATAAACTAGCTTATAGCTTATCAGTAATTTTGAGCTTATAGCTTATTGCTTATGATTTATAGCTGAAAAACTAGTTTATATGATAAAAATGTTTGGTAAAACTAGCTGAAATAAAAATTTCAACGAGCTTATTTGAAAAGCTACTCAAAGAAACTTATCAAATAAGCTCGAGTTTTCGTCCCACCAAAACGGAGCTTATTTGAAAACATGAAGCTTATAAACTAACTAAATAAGATATAAACTAACTTATTTGTATACCAAAAATTAAAAATAGATGAATTAAATGTAAGGTTGAATTGATGTACATTAAATATTTTAATAGGTTAATGTGCGTTGAGAATGATATTTTTTGTCAATCTAACTATTGTCATGTAAAATGACTCAAGTTACTATTCTTGTTACGTATTTAGATCTCTCCAATGTGTATTGTTACATTGATCATGATGTCATTTATGCAATAAAGAAATTCTATACAAGATGTCGAGCCCAACCAGTTCATATACATAATACGAGAAAGCGTAAAAGACAAATGAAATACATATTATAAAAACAGAATATCAAGTTTCGATTACCTTTAGAACAGGCATTTAATAAAGGCTTTCAACTCTAAACGAAACATGAAAATAAAAAAATAAAAAAAATACTAAATATCATAAGTAAAAGGGAAAAGAAGAGCAGTCTAAGCGAGTTCAATCAGAATCTCGTAGTTCCACTTCCTATTAGCTCAAATTTCTTTTGCTTTTAGAATAATGAGGGTGAACTATATGAAAATTGCCTTTCTTATAACCATAACCATCGATTACACCGAAACTCCCCAACTCGGTCGTCCTTAAATCGTAAAACAGAATCGCACCCTTCCGGTCAAGGAGAATGACTTTGTCATTATTGTAGAGGCCCACAACCACTTTAACATCAAGATCCGCCGGAATATGGAATGTGGACAAGTGAGACCAGCTCCGGTCCCCATTGCTCCACACCCAAATCTGCAACCACAAAGAATTTCTACGAAACTTCTCATCATCCTCAAAAATAGCGGCAAGCGACCCGTGATACTCTGCAAGAGCCAACATTGAGTACCAACCGTACCCATTGTGGTCCGGCAAGGGAATGAGATGAGCCCACTCTTCGCGGCCAAAATCAAAAATAACAATTTCACCACGGAACGTGGGCCAATAGTAAAAGCCATTTATGTGAATGTACGGGCCTTCGAGCTTGATATCGTCGGGGTAGTGGGGGAAATAGATTTCCCTCCACAAACCAGTGCCGACCGACAGCAGTTCCCCTCTTATCTCAGGGGGCTCGTGATCGAAATAGAAACAACACCTGACCACCTTATAGTCCCCTGAGCCAGAGTCGAACCCAACGCCCCAAAAGGAATTATCTAAGGGTTTCACCTGAAATTGAGGAATGGGTCTGACCTCGTCGGTCGTGGGGTCCCACAGGAATGGGTCTTCAGAATCGGAGCCCAACACCACCCATTTGTCGCAGCCGGCGAGGAATTCATAGCCGGCGCTGCTATTAAGACGAGAGAAATTGGGGCGATTATTGGGTTCAACGGGTTTGAGCGACTTGTTTTCAATTGAGAGTAGGGATAGGTTGTGGGGTCCGTTGTTGGGATACCGCTCCGCCACGAGCATGAGATTGTTTTCGTCGGGGGGGCCGTTGCCGTTGATGTTGATGTTATCCAGATGGCGGCCGAGGGCCGCCGGGCTGTGCGCCGGAGTACCGAAACGACGGACGCCGAAAGAAAGATCGCGATGTGAAATCCGGCTCGTGGCCATGAGCGGTGGGCTTGTACGGGGTTTTAATCCGGCAATGGAGAAGGCGGCGGGTGTTCGGAGCGCCATGTTTGCGTACAGAGGAAGGATGAATTTCCAAATCCTTTAATTTTGGAGTAAGGTCATCATTTTATGTTAATTCCCATCTTATGCCCAATGGACACAAACAACTGTGAATGAGCTCAAATCCGGGAAAAAATTCATTATCGAGTGGACTATATTTATAAACTAGTTGGGTCACGCGTGCACGCACGGTTGACTCAAATTTAATTTAAAAATACAGTAAAATTTTTTCATTAGTTGTAATGATCAGTCAAGTTCATGGCCAATTTTTACACTGGTTGTTGATAAATAACTTTCACGATAAAGGGCTCATTCATAGCTTTATAGGCAATTGTTGCAATTTAGTTGCTGCAACTCTCTACAAATAGTATGCATGTTAAGTTGACATGGTCTCAAATGAATCAGTGGTGTTTGAGAAGAAGCGATGCTTTTAAAGTTTTGGTATGCAATGAAAGTTTGTCGTCTCTCGGCTGTGCACGCACAGTCGGCTCAAATTTAGTCTATAATGGAGGCTAAATTAGTTGTACATTAAAATTATCATTCTATAAACCGAACAACCAACTTGTCAAAAACAAATTATACTTCAAGGCTTCATTCTCATTCTTCAATGAGATAATAGAAACAATACTTAATATATCGCAAAAATTGGAAGGATGCATATGAACTGCCCATAACCCTTTGGCAGTGAGTCACACTAAGACGTAACAGGAACAAAGTCAATTTCAAAATCTTAGTATGACTTCACTTCGCTTCAATCGTATGCATCGAACACGTGGAAGGTGGGTGTGCTAGCTTCACTCGCTGTAGATCGAACTGATTCATCTAACTTTTGGGGTTGAGAGTGGCTTCGTAGCTCCCCACTATCTCCCACATTCACTAAGCACCGCCAATGCTGGAGAATCCTGTGCAACACAACCATGAAATTTGAAATCCCAAGTCTTTAGAAGTTGAAACATTTTTTTTAAGAATTGTCATAACACTATTTCTTTCAACTCCACGAAAATGAAAGTTTTTGTTCCAAGTGTTTGAAGATTAAACGAGGTTAATCATACAATTAACTTTAACTACATTGATTCGTGTATGTTGTAAACTAATTCAGCAAAAATAACACATGTGTTATATTTTAATACACATATTTGCACCACATAAGAACCACATAAGTGGATGACCTAGTAAGAAAAATAATCGAGTGGCACTGTTGAAAAACCACCAAAGTTAATGTATGTTTTTTATTATTTTTATTTTCGTGATTTTATGGTGATGAGTAGAGTCTATTTTAGGTTCATTTTTGTCTTCATCCGGTCATCTTACCCGTTCTTATTATTTTTCACCTTTGTGCTGTGCTTTTGTATTTTTCGTGATCTTTCGTGTCCATTGGTGAATTTTAGGTCCAACTATTCAAAAATTGAAAATGAGGAGTTGAGCCGAAAGTCCGAATCGAGACCATGGCACTTGCAAGCACGTTCAAACCACAACTCACCAATGCCGCACCCTATAGTACTCACTCCCAGGTCGCCTGTGACTTGGTTTCGCATGTCGCCCGCAGCCTGCGCTTGCCTTGCTCTCGTTCCGTTGTAGTCAAAGCAACTAAATTATGTTAGTGATCTCCGATTAATATTTATTTCAGAAGACTATCTGGGCTAGGAATTTCTTTTTTGTACTTGGCTAAAAAAATACAAACGGTTACTTGTTAAAATATACCCCTCGCATAAAAAATTACCTGTCAAACTTCGTCTAATACACAAATTACTATAAAATGAATTTAGCCATGGCACATAAATTAGGAATCATGTAACACACACAAGTTGTTACTCATAATTTACCAATCACAAAACAAGTTAATTATCACCGAGAACAATAGAACCAGTTAATAAATTATGTTACTTTTTATTTTGTCCAACCGCTAGAGCCTCACCAGGCTCCTAGACTTAAAAATGTTTTTATAAAAGAAAGGAATAAAGCCAATCACAAAACGGTCAAATGTATAAGACAATAAAACACAAAACAATAAAAAGTAGAAGACGAGCATATTTCTAATAATTGGACTGAATATATCTTAGATGCATGTATAAACGACTCAAACCATAAAGGTAATAAGGAACAAAATAAATAAAGAAAAAAAATACTGAAANNNAAAACCGAGCTTCAAACGGTGGAATTTGAGGTCAGAAGAACCACTTAGTCCATCAATGGGCGCAATGAGTTCAATCAGACTCATACTTCCGCTTCCTATGAGCTCCGATTTCTCTTGCTCTTGGAACAATGAGGGTAAACCCAAAAACCGACATAACCGAAATTCTCCAACTCGGCTGTCCCACAATTGTAAAGCAGAAGTGCACCCTGAGAGTCGACGAGAATCACTTTGTCATTATTGTAGAGGCCCACAACCTCTTCAACATCAACATCCGCCGGAATATGGAATGTGGACAAGTGAGACCAGCTCCGGTCCCCATTGCTCCACACCCAAATCTGCAACCACAAAGAATCTTCACCAAACTTCAAATCATCCTGAAAAATAACGGCAAGCGACCCGTGATACTCTGCAAGAACCAAATTCTGGTACGACCTGCACATACCGACGTTTGGCATGGGAATGAAATCAGCCGAGAACTCTTCGCGGCGGAAATCAAACGGAACAATAACATGACGGATCTGACTTGATACTATCGTGGACGGCCAATAGTAAAAGCCGTTTATGTGAATGCAGTGATCGTATTTGAAAGTCATGTCTTCGTAATGGTGGGGGAGCCGGATTTCCCTCCACGAACCGGTGCCGATCGACAGCAGCTCCCCTCTCACCTCATCGGACCCGATACGAACATATTGAAGATTGGCACACCTGACCACCTTATAGTCCCCTGAGCCAGAGTCAAACCCAACGCCACAAAAGTTATACCAATAGTCAAGTATGGGCAGGCGATGGCGCGGTTTCATCTGAAATTGAGGAATGGGCCTCACCTCGTCGGTCGTGGGGTCCCACAGGAACTCGGCCGGAGATGTGGTAACGTTATCTTTGAAGCCCAACACCACCCATTTGTCGCTGCCGGCGAGAAATTCATATTGGGCGCTGCTATTAAGCCGAGAGAAATTGGGGCGATTGGGTCGAACTAGTTCGTGCGAGTTGTTTTCAATTGAGAATAAGGATGTATTTTTGTTACCCAACTCCACCACAAGCATAAGATTGTCGTCGTCGGCGGCGCCGTTGCTGTTGATGTTGCTCTGCTCCAGATTGCGGCCGAGGGCCGCGGGGTAGTGCGCCGGACTGCCTAAACGACGGACGCCGGAAGAAGGATCGAGATTTAAAATCCGGTTCATGGCCATGAGCGGTGGGCTTGTATGGGGCTTTAATCCGATAACGGCGGCAGCGGCCAGTGTTCGGAGCACCATGTTTGCGTGCAGAGGAAGAATGAGTTTTCAAATCCTAAATTATCTCATCCTTATTTATCTGTTAATTCACATATTAAACCAGAGTGGGTGCATTTACAACTCTGCCCATTGAGAGTCTCAAAATGGGGAAAATTTTCCTCATCAAGTCACTATATTTACCATTTACCAATTTCCAAAAACTATACACATTAGGGCATCCACATCCCTTAACACACAAATCATTCGTTCAATCAAAAAGTAACACTCTCATCCACATCATTTTTCCAATAAATCTCTCTCCATTTAAATACACACCCACATTCCTACTCATTTATTTAACTACATATATGGGACCCATTCTCCACTCATTCAATATAATTTTTTATATTCTATTCACAATAAAAATAAATTTTAATATTTTTAAATTATAACAATAAATTTTAAATGCATAAAAATAAAAAAATACTATAAGACCAAAATAACTTAAATTAAGATTACACAAGAAAAAATAGTACAATTACAAAAAATAGTATAATATTTTTTATAGATAAAAAATAAATAAAATATAAAAATAAAAAAACTAAAGACTAAATAAATAATTATTTTAAAATACAAAAAGAATAAAGCATGCTGCCATGCTTTTTGTAAAATAAGAAGATTTTAAAATAAAATAAAAAAATAGAAAAAGATAGCATGTGGTGCAGTATTTAAAACAAAATAAAGAAAAGAAAACAAAAAAAATAAAAAAATGGAGCAAATGGGCGTTCAATGAATTGAACGGATACAGGGTGGCCCACAATTAAATGAACTGCCACATTGCAGAAATATGCCAAGTTGGCATTTCAATTAACTTGAACGGGCATTGAACGCCCGCAATTGCGGATGCCCTTATATTGTTACACTAGTACTGTAGTGCTTATTGAGAAATTTATGGGAAATACTATGGTCCCCTTAAGGTACCATCCTGTCAATAGTTTTAACCATTAACAAATGTAGTTAGTATGAGATACATGATTCAACGGTTAAAACATCTGACGGGATGGTACCGTAACGGGACCATAGCATTCCCCGAAATTTATATTAAATTTAAAAAGTAATAAAAAATTATTTTAAGTTTTAAATACTTTTTTTTAAATATATGATTATTTCTATTTAATATGATACATGTCACATAAATAACTTATTATTTTATATTGTAATATTTTTTTATATTATATCATATAACTATGTTGTAGTTGAATTTATTTAATTGTATTTTTTTAATTAAAATTTATAGATAATTAAATTTTTATTTATAAAGATAAAGACAATTACTTTTATTATTATTATTATTATTATATATATATATATATAACATTATATACAATATAGACTCAAATCAAAGCTAATCAAGTAATGATTAATTTGATATATTACATATGAAAAACTTATAATAAATACAGAAGTTAACTTTTAAAAAAAAGTTACTTTTAACATAATTTAGGGGGCGATTGTATACAAATTCTACAGTAAAAAAACCAATCAAAACTCAAATTTAACTCAACTTTAACTCAACTCCACTATCTCCAATATTATCAATATAATTAAATAATATCAACCAATCATTCTTACATGTCACATCAACTTTAATTCACTATTCATCTACTCACATAATTTTAACTAATTATCACTTCCAATCATTTTTCTCCTACTTTTACATCAAATCAACTTTAGTTATTTTATTTTAAATATTATTTTAATATATCCACTAACAACTAACCATACTACCTTTTTTTAAACTTAACTATAGTTATAAAATAATCAGTTTTTTACTAGTTGAATTCATATCCAATCACCCCCTTAGCAATCTCAATTAAGTTACTTTCTCGTAAATCAACTAATGTAAAAAAGTTACTATCAGTTTTATAAATCTTTCTAAAAAGTGACCAAAAAATAAAAAAACATTTCCTTCCATTTCCCATTTCCTTTTTTTTTTTTCTTGCATGAACCCTAATCGGAGTTGCGCCTCTCGTCTAGCAGTGAGCCTCCTCCCTCCGGTAGGGGTCAAAGTTTGGGTCGACTCCAGTACCATTCTTTTGCGGTTTGGTGGTTCGCCGTTCTTCTACTTCCCATGTGGATTTCCACTTCGGTTCAGTGGCTGCCATGGCAGAAGGGGTGGCGACGACTTGCGGGAGGCGCGTGGCTGTCGTTGTTCGAAGGGCTACTGCTCTGCCCCTCTGTCCTCTTTCGACTTTGGTGTT